GTTTGCAATTTACATTTCCGATTTTACAAGACCATATATTTCTGTGAACACTTTGTAAGTACCGTGTGTGTTTTTATCGGAATTTTTTGCAACATTTTTATTGAATATAATTCATAAAAGCTGGTAGTGCCTAAGCTTTGGTTTTGAACGTGGAAAACAAATGTTCTTTTGTACGGGACTTTAAGCTGTTATCGTTCACCATATCATTGTTTTTATTTTCTTTGTTATTTTTATCTTTCCATCCAGGGTGCGATAATTCGTACCTCACTGGCACTCTACAACTACGTTTACCATAGGCAGCCCAAATATGCGCGGTATTTGTTTCTTTTATGTAGTCTCATACTACTCATAGCTTGGAAAGGCTTTGAAAGCTCGCGCGTGAAAATCTTTAAACTAGAAATAGTTTACACTAAAACTGCCCCCGGCTGATTATGGTGTACTAACTAGCTGTTATTAAAAATTATCATGCCTTATGGCAATTTACAAATATTAATACGACAAAATGTTATTACTACTTTCTGGCTTTCTTTCAAAACGCTTAGAAGATTGATAAAATTGGACGAACTTTAAAAATGAAACAGTAACCACGTGTAACTTGATCCTTGTGCGTCTATCCGGCTGAAGGAACGGCGCTTTTCAATATAATGGAACAATGACTATGAGTCCCTTGTTACAAACGTTTTATAATGTGACCGTTGTGTGTTAAGCTTTGCTCGATTTTTTATATTTGTTTTTGTCTGACTGATGTGTGAACCAAGTCTTTCGATTAATGTGTCTGAAAAATCATGTCGTTGATACTTGATAGAATCTTGATAGACGGAGTTTTTAATCTTGTGTTACTGTTTAACCTTTTTGTTATTTGACGGATTGACTCCTTCACCAACAACAGATGATAGTAACAACGTACAAGTCTATTAATTATAGACACGTAAAACCACGGAAGCAACGCAACCTTTGAACCCTCACCTTTTAAACTTGCGCAGCTACGGCACTACGCCAATAATTCACTTGCCTTTCATAATAAAATTTGAAACCTCACCTTTGTCGCCTACAATCCTGGCAAAAATTATGTGGACACCTAACTTTTCTAACGCCAATATTAACATTGAGACGTTCTTTCATGAAACTTGTCGCCCCCTGCCCCCCGTATTCAATGTTGTTTCTCGCATTTAAATTTTAAAGTTTCATTTACCAACATTGAATTGGGGGTAGGAGGGGGAGAAATTTTCTGGGGATTAATTCTGTAGAGATACATCTATTTTTGTTTGACGCACGCGGTGTCCACAATAATTTTTGCCAGGATTGTCTGAAATTATCACATATTTCAAACCGTCCGATTTCATGAATTTAAGGCTTGTCCAATGATAAAATAGGCTTGTTTGTTTAGCAAAAGGGGCAAACAATTAGTAAATCAGGTTATATTTAGCTTTTTTTTTACTGTCTGATCTATGTTAATTAGTCTGCAACTATGCAAAGGCAAAGCAATATTTTCGTATAACAAATTATTGAACATCGTAGAGAACGACGATGTCTTAGTACTTAGTCAAACCTGAGTGCAAAATTTCCAGCCAAAAAATGCGAGGTTTGTTTACCTCATAACTTACAGCCAAGCAGATCTATCTTTAGTTCCTGAGCGTGAATCATTCGCATTGTTGGTAATACATGCATTTCAAAATGCAGATCCTTTGTTAACCTGCAACATTTTGCTATATATATATATATATATATATATATATATATATATATATATATATATATATATATATATATATATATATATATATATATATATATATATACATACATATATATATATATATATATATATATATATATATATATATATATATATATATATATATATATATATACATACATATACATATACATATACATATACATATATATATACATATACATATACATATATATATACATATACATATACACATATATATATATATATATATATATATATATATATATATATATATATATATATATATATATATATATATATATATATATATATATATATATATATATATATATATATATATATATATATACCGGGTGTCCCAAAAAAAGTACTCCTGTTTGATTCGTAATAACTTCTAAACAAGTAAAGTTTTTAAAGAGAAATAACTTGCATTAAAAAGAGGAAGGACTAACTTAGATTTTGATATATTACAGTTGTATTTAACTTAAAAATTCACGGATATATTAATGTTAAAAATGGGAGCATATTTTGGAATGTGTCTAAAATTAGCGAAAATCGGCATATCAAATATTAACTCCAGCGTTTGTTTGCTTAATGACATATTGGGCTAACTTGTATTTCAGCGAATTATCGTTAAGGTTTGTAAGGGATATGGCGTAGATTTAGACATCTTACATGTAAGTCTTAGCTCATTGTTTCCTGAAATATGAACGTTCGAAATTATGCAAGTATTTAATATTAGGTCTTTGCAAACTTAAATGTACATGGAAGACTGACCATGGAAGGCAGGCGCTTAAATTTTTCGTATTCTTAAATAGCCTAATTTTTTTATGTTTTTAATGGGTCCAAACAGACTGAGTAGATTATTTCTCGGTTAGAGCAGGATGAATATTCTTTATTGAAGGAAATAATATTGCTTTTTGCAAATACACATCACCGTATCAACGCTACTATTTTGTTACGTTTTGTTCTAAAAATGTTGCATGTCTCTGGGGAGTTGCTTAATTGTTATGTCTTATGGAGTTGTATGGTTTGATTGTGTTTCATATAATTCTCAGTTTACTCCATGAACTTGCCAAGATTAAGAAACGGCAAAAGAGTTTGGATGTTCTTAACAAGATTTCAGAACGTTGCAGAAGTTAGAAGAGCTTCACAATTCCGTTGTGACAGCATGCCCTAATTCAGAACTACGAACGATCCAATGACGATCCTTCGCGATGCAGTGGTCTCATGAAATAAGGAAACGTATTCGTGCTAGGAACACACGCGAATTTCGGACGAATGAATCTTGCTTGTATTTTGTAGATATAATAATACTTTGTTTCATAATAAACAATTTGACAAGTGTCATTTATTTACTGGTAATAGTGCATGTTTCAGTCGGGCAAATCTTGATTAATATTTGATACGCCGATTTTTGCATATTTCAGACACATCCAGAAATATCCTCCCGAATTTAAAGATTAATATCTCCGTGGATTTTTAAGTGAAATACAACTGTAATATATCAAAGTCTAAGTTAGTCCTTCCTCTATTTGATGCAAGTTATTTCTCTTTAAAAGCTATACTTGTTTAGATGTTATTAC